TAGTACTCCATCACATATAAACCACAGTTTATCTATTTATCTATTTAGGGGCACTTGGGCTGACTCCGATTTGTCATTACATATAAGGCTGTTACGTACATTTGTGTGCAAATCTTTCTAGGACTTATACATTCATTTCTCTTGGCTACATACTTAGGAATGGAATGGCTGGATCACACAGTTATCTAATAGTATCTTGGTATGGATTCTGAGCCTTTTTAAAAAACTTCATTGTTGAAAGGGTTGGATTTTATCAAATCAGCTCTTTGTACGAGGGTCTTGCAGCAGCAAGGAGGGTGGGGATAGGGTTCCAGGTAACCTTCCGGAGCTTCAGTCTAAGGACTCCCTGGCCTGTTGCAATAGCCTAGAACAACTTCCTGCAGATGCAGCAGCTCTTTGTCGCTACCCCTCCTCCACCTCTCCAAACCCATGGAGTTTTGTGGGGCTTTTAATTTAACCCTGCATGCCCCCAGTTTCTTCATGGCCACTGCATCAAGTGACACTGTGCCTGCCTTCCAGGGTGAGCCCCTCAGACCCAGAAGGCTTATTTAGAAAGCGCTTTCTGAGATTGCCACCTCTGGGCCATGCTGGGCGATGTCTGTGCTTTCTCTTTCCATCTTGCCAGCACTTGTGCCTGTTCAGTCTACAATTCCCACTTGAGATTGGGAGGAGGTTCTTTTCCAGCTGAGGTATCCAAGATTGCCTCACACAGGGCCACTGCTGGCCTGGCAATACTCTGCCTGTGCTGGGGCTCTGTCCCACACTCTCTCTTGTTCTCCACACAGGACTCAGGGTGGTGTGCATGTGCACAAGGATGGGCTGACAGTCACTTCTCCGGTCCTGATGTGGGTTCAGGTAAGTCCAGGGATTCCTTCCATCTTCTGTTCCCAGCCTGTCTCATCTGCAGACTTGGTGATTTTCTAGGAAGCTCATAGGTGGCAGCTCCTGAGAGTATCTGTTGAGACCAGGTTTTCACAGGGACATGGAGTCTGCATGGTTCCTGGGGCCAGGCTCAGCCTCAGCTGGTGTCAATACTTCGGGGCTGAGAGGACTCACAAAGGGCTTACTTCCAGGTACCGGAACCACAGCAGCTGGCAAGTCATACTTAAAATACCACAGAGCGAACTTTCTCAAACACTCTGCAGTCAAGCTCTATGGCCTCCATTGTATCCTGAGATCCAAACACAGCCCTTGGGGTCTTAGTGTTCAGCCCTGCAGACCCCTCAGCCCCAGGGTAGGGGCACGAAGAATGGTGACTTATGCCCCATTCCAGGCTCAGATCAGCCCCAAGCAAGGCCTGCCTGCTCAGGACCAACAAGAGAAGAAGATGCCTGTGGCCAGATCTGGTGGCCACTAGGGCCCCAGGACTGGGTATGTGGACTGCACAGACAGACATGATAGGGCTGCAGCTGCCTTGATTGCCCCAGGGGCCCAAGTCCCTGAAACTGGAGGCCAGCCAAAAGCAGCACTTAGTATGTCTGCCAAAAATTTTTTTCAGTCCTCCAATTCCTGTTTAACCAATTCCCTGTACTAAATTCTTTCTGTTAAAAATAACTAGTATGATTTCTTTTATATCAGCCTGACCCTGATTTAGACACTGGAGGATTGTGTAAAGGATGAATTTTTTTTTTTTT